TTTTTTAATGACCCAACCCTATTTTTGCCTTTTCTTGATAATCTCCCCTTGCGAGGGGATATGTCCCTTCATTTTAACAATTTAAATTCCCCTTCACCCAAGGATGCTTTGTATCAAGTTTGGTTGAAATTGGCCCCGTGGTTCTTGAGAAGAAGTCGAAAATGTGAAAGTTTACAGACGGACAGACAGACGGACAGACGGACGGACGACGGACAAAATGTGATCAGAAAAGCTCACTTGAGCCTTCGGCTCAGGTGAGCTAATAAAAGATTATCATAAAAAACAAATTTGCTACATTGAGTGAAAATTCCTTCCTAGCCTTCACCTGCTTTAGTCAATATATATATAAATACATTATTATATGGTAAATTATTAAATATAAAACTATATGAAGACTGCCCTTACCTGCTTTCAGACTGGCCAGCTTTGAGTTATACTCCTCTTCTATTTCAGCTATAGCAGCAGCATGCGAGCCTTTAAGGTTCTGGAGTGAGTTGTCTAAATCAGCACTGGAGTCTCGCCGAGTCAATTCTTCCTTCCCACTTTCACTTTCATAATCCTTCACCGACTGATCTACAACTAACCCCCCTGAATCTCTTAGATCCTCTCCTCCTGAATCTCTTAGATCCTCTCCTCCAGTTTCACTAGTTTCTTCACAAACTTCACTAACTTGAAATCCTCCACTAGAATCTGTTTGATCCACTCCCTTATTTAAAGTCCCCTTCCCAGAATCCTTTGTTTCTCCATCCGTGTCGAATTCACTCGAAGCAGACACCATGACACCAGACTCGTCCACGGTACGCTTGGACGATTTCTCGTCACTGGATTCACTCTCTTTCAAAAATTTTTCTAGCTCGGTCTCGAGTTCATGAATTTTATCCTGATATTCCTGGATCTTGTACTCGGTAGCGAGATTCTGGTGCATTCCGGTCTCTAACTGGCTCTGCAGAGTCTCCATCTCTTTGCTGTATTTACTCTCCATAGCCTCCAGCTTAGCCTGAAATTCCTCTGTCAGAGTTTGTCGTGCTTCTTCCATTTCTTTGTCGTGTTGTGCGTGTAAATCGTTTATCTCTTTCTCTTTTTCTTCTTGAAATCGTGCCTTAAAATAAAAGAAGAAAATCTCTCAGAATGAAAAATATGGAGATAACAAACAGGGTTCAAGATCAAAAGTCCATTTAACAGTACAAAACAGAAGCAGAGCAAACACATATCACCAAAACATCAGAGATGGTTTCAGAAAATGGTAAATAAACAAACACATCCTATATTTACATACCATACATAGAAAGACTGATGCACATAGGATCAAAGAAGACAACTGACCTGTTCGGATTCAATGGTTTCCTCGAACTCTTGCTCCATGAGTGACTTTGCCATCTCGAGCTCCGTGTCGATTCTGTCTCTCACGAGATCCGCTACCTCAGGAGCATCACCGCCACGGATCCCTGTAAAAGCAGCGTAAAAAATAACTCAGGAATAACTAAACAAATAAAAGTCCTGAGGACCACATATCCCTGTAAAAGCAGCGTCAAAAATAACTCAGGAATAACTAAACAAATAAAGGACTTGAGAACCACGGATCCCTGTAAAAGCAGCATAAAAAATAACTCAGGAATAACTAAACAAATAAAGGTCTTGAGCACCACATATCCCTGTAAAAGCAGCGTAAAAAATAACTCAGGGATAACTTAACAAATAAAGGACTTGAGAACCACATATCCCTGTAAAATCAGCGTAAAAAATAACTCAGGAATAACTAAACAAATAAAAGTCTTGAGGACCATATATCCATGTAAGATAAGCGTAAAAAATAACTCAGGAATAACTAAACAAATAAAGGACTAGAGGTTAACTAAATATTAACTAGGTATATTAAACTTGAGAACCACATTTCAATTGAGGTCACTTGGTTATATGCCTGTTCATTCTAGGTTTAACAGTAAGTACTAAGAGACTGGTCTATCAATGAAATCAAAAGCTATTGTTTCTTGCATTATCATGTTATATATTGATCATGTATCAAATAAGTTTCGTAGAACTTTTTAATGTATATTTCCTTGGTCTCCATATATTTGGTCCCCTTGTCATTCATAATTCAGAGTCTGCTTGTATTTTCTGCTCTTGTCCATCTGCCTAAATCAATGTATTTCTACTTACTGTCTATAAGTGTGTCATATTTCTCTTCCGAGGCCTCCAGTTCCTTTTTATGTCTTTTTTCCATTTCTTGTTTCTCTGAATCATAACTTTCCTGCATCTCTTGTCGTAACAGATCCATTTTCTCTTCGTACTCAACATGCACTCGTGCTAACTCCGCCTCGTAATTTTTCACAAATTCTACTTTCACTTTCTCTTTGATCTCTTCAATATCTACATCGGATTCCTCGAGTTCTTTAATTCTCATCTCATAGTGCCGTCTCATTTCTTGAATTTTAGCCTTGTATTTGTCCGTTATATCATCGATGCATTTCTCACGTTCGTCGTTTAGGATCATGGCCTGCTCTAGGTCGTCTGTGAGTTTAGTGATTTTGGTCTCGTACTCTTGTTTGAGTTTCATGAACGTCTCCTGCTTGGCGAGATTGATGGTGCCCATGAGTTGACTCACGGCGACTGCTGACTGAGACTCGCTGGTCTCTGGTGAGCTACTCTCGCTGACCTCTTCGAAATCTTCACTCTCCTTAAGAGTGTCCTGTCTCGAAACCTAAAAACATCAAATGTTTACCCATTTCAGAAAAAAGAGAGAACTTATAGTGAGATAGAGTCACCAATGCATATGATCATCAAATGGCTTTCATTTTTTATTCTAATGTTGACCAAGATAGATAAGGATAAGGACACCATCTTCTGAATATAAAATATATCGTTAAATTAGAAACAATAAAAAGCACCAAAAAATTGACAATCCCCCTTTTCCAACCCCTGTATTCTATTGTCCTTTCTTTAATTTGTTTTTGCCATTTAATTTGCATTTTCCTTGAACCCACCCCTCTTCACGAAATAAAAAAAATCCTCCCAGAATTCAACACAACTTACTGCCTCCATTGTGGTGGGTTTCCCGCCTTCTTCGTGTGCCTCCGATTCCATCTCCTCTAATTCGTCGTCGGTCTTGTCCTCTAATTCGTCGTCGGTTTTGTCGCCCACGTCCTCGGAACTCTTCTTCTCCGGTCTGACATTCTTCTGGGCGTCGATTACCGTACTGGCTGTCTCTGTCGACTTACTCAGAGAATCATCATCCAAGGTCACGGTGGAGGATTGTGGGTAATTTTCAGAGGAGGATTGTGGGTAATTTTCAGAGGAGGATTGTGGGTAATTTTCAGAGGAGGATTGTGCGAGATTCACAGATGCATTGCTTTCTTCTTGTAATTCTCCCTCTTGTTTCTGCAAAAATAATTAAACATAGAAGTATCCCTCTTAATTACTTATATTATGCCATTACACTTGAGGCAAAACTTAATTTGTCTTATTGGTTCTCACAAATACACATAAGATACCGTATAATCCCTATTAACCACCCCTGCCCCTATAAGCGCCTCCTAGTTGTTTTTCAATTGTCAGAAAATAAGGGTCCCCAGTACAGTACTGACTAAAATCATCTAGGAATCATATCAAAATCTGCCAAAATCGGAAGGAAGTGAAAATGAAATTGTTTGAAATTATCCATCAAGACATGGGCCCCACCCTCTGTGAAAAATTCCTGGATTCATTTTTTTATCTTCATCATAACAAAAATGTTATCATTGTTATAGTATTTCATTCAAAGGCAAACAATTACACCTCCATGCATCTAAAGACTTACGGCCCATTCTACTGTAGTGGGACCCACAATGAATCAATGTGTTGCGGAAGTATTTTTTTTATTTTGGAGTACAGGTATTTTAAAATTCTATGGTAAACAACAAGTTGTTCCTATACTGTACCAGAAACACTCAAAAGAAATATCTACACTCAATAGAACTATCTTAACTCAATAGATTTATCTACATATTGGAATGCGATCAGTTGACTTACTTGTGTTTACCTATTAACTCCTTAAAAGTCAATATTTTGTGAAATTCAATCAGCTGATTTACTGATAATGTTAAGAATACTAGTGCTGCAGTGACAGTATTGTTGAATGATTAAGGTTCACTAGCCCATTGCTAGGAGAGATAACTCTTGCTAAGTAATTGATTATTGTTCCTTAATTTTATATTTGTCAAGAAAATTTTAGTGCTACTTCTATTTTTTTTGGCCTGGAAGGTATTCTAGTATTGTGTTAATTTTCATTTGAAAGGGTACTCTTGTAATTCTAATTTTTTTTTTTTGAAAACTTCTAAGTGATACCGCAAAATTTTAAATTCATGAACAGAGAGACGGTGAGCCTTAACTTTAAAGAAAAAATCTAATCACAGATTTAAATGCCCATGTATCAATTATCAAATGATAATGAGGTGAAATATTGAATGAGCGGCTTGTCAACAGCTGGACAGATAGGTTTCCTAAACCATCAAAGAGGTGATGTTATCTGCAGTAGTCAAGATTGTTACAAGGAACTGAGAATTCATTCTTCCTTTAGCCTCCACCATATACATCCCAATCTCCTTTTCATTACTCACAAAATTATTTTTTCACATATTCAGAAAGCAATCATAATAATTTGAAACACGGAAAACAAAAAAAAAAACCAAATCACACACACATAAACATTGCATGCTACTTTTATTTCCTGTCTCTGCATGGCCATAATCAGATATAATAGTGCAAAGACCAAAAGCCACTTTGGGCCTTATTTGGCCCTGAGAATTTCTGAAAAATCAAAACCAATCAGTTTAGGTTACAAATGCAGTATTTATCACATTGCAATTTCTCAAACCTTATTCCAATACCTGAATTCTCAAAACAAAATTTTATTATAGAAAATGAAAGCACCAAGTGTCTACTTCATTTCGATATGGGTGATAGTTAATTAATTGATATAAGTACAGGGCCATTTTATGCATAAGATGGCACTTGCTCTTAGGAACAACAACACCCTTGCCCCGCCCACCCCCCCAAAAAAAATCACCATTTAAGAGATTTTTATGCTTTAATTGCTACAAACTAAGTTTGGGCTCAGGATAAAAAAAATCATTTTCATGAAACTTATAGAAATCAGGTTTCAATTTTCATTACTTCACTGTTTTGATTTTCCAATAACAATTATTTAAATTCCTTCTTTTTAAAACATCTTTTTTAAACAAAAATGATAATTTTCTGAATGAATGTATTTTGATCTTAATTAATTTAAAAAATATGGTACATTTTCATTTTTATAATCAGGCTTTCTAATTTTCATGTAACAACATGCACCACACTTTCTCATGGAACATATAAGAAATTTTAAAATGGAATTTTAAATGCCACTATTATAAGCCAATACACAAAACAGCAACAAAGGCCAGGTACAAAAGTGAAAGGAAAACCTTAACCTAATGTTCAACAATCACAACAGAAGAACCAATTTTCATTTATTGAACCTCTTCCTTTTTTGGCATATATCCCCCCTTTCAGACAAATACCTGGCAATGCATGAATATGTATGCTAGGTTCAACTTAATTTGACAATCACTTCAAAGAAATGCCTTACTTCTAAATTTCTAAATTTGTTAATAAAATCTGTTTCAGAGCTGATTTCCAAAAACACTTTTAAATAAATCATTCAGAATTTTTTTTATTTCATTCACGATTTTTATTCAATTTAGCATGTTGGAATTTAGACAGAGAACATCTCATCTCCATTTTTATACAAAGCCTTCTGGTTTTTGCCAGCCCATTTGTAATGTTTTTTGAGACATTAAGTTTCAAGTGGAGACCTACACATGTATATTCATTGAAGTTTAAATTGATCAATACATCAATCGATCAATAAATGTTTAAAAAACTTTGCTTGACTTCCTCTGGTACATAAAAAGGTGTGAAATACGAATATATATACTTGGATTTGTCCGTAAATTAATGCTAAATATCAAACTATTTTATTAATATATAGAACCGATGTTAACTGAAATTTTGACAGTTACTTAATCAAATTTTGATACTTTGTCTGGTGTACCAATGTAGACTGGGTTCAAATCTCACTGTGGGATTTAGAATTCTGCCCTTTGGATGAGAAATTTACTGGATAAACGAGGTCCAATGTCACAATAAAATTGGCATGAAAAAAGATTTCTCCCTGCTCAATGGCCCTGAGTGCCAAGTTTCACCCCCCACCCCCACCCCTCCCCCTCAACATTCCCCATGAATCTTATATAAAAAAATCCTTAAATCCCTAACGATTCATCGTGATGAAGATTTACAGACTTACCCGTACTCCACACCCCACCACTAAACATCAAGTCTGAACATGCTCCACGTTTTAACACAATCATTAACTAATTAATAATTAACTGATTCAGGCATTTAAATCTATACACTTACATCTTCTTTATGTCTGGCACCAGGATGTAGAATTTAACGAATAATTAATTCTGATATGTCACACAATCGTATCATTATATTTGCAGCAGTAAGAGTGTCATTTGATCATCAACTGCAGGCAATGGACATAACAGAAAATTTCCAGAATTTAGAATGATGAGATATGAGCTCCTGTAAACAATTTCTTTAATTTAAGAACTGCGTCTTTGAGGACATTATCAAGACAAAGAATGTCTCCAAGAACTCCCAAGAAATATTTGCTTGAGTGAAACAGCTTTAACGAAAGAATTCCAAAATAATAGCTTTTTAATTCTTCATGAAAAAACAATCCTATCAAAATATGCACAAGTGGAAATTTCACTTTTCAAAATCAATTTCACTTAGAGCTATCAATTGCATTTGTCCACACACTTTATTAACACTATATCAGCAGATTCTAAGACACACACACATATACACCAACGTTTGATAGGCACCACAATGAATATGTTAAATTATTTCAATACACCCCGAAATAATCCCCCAGAATCCTTTGTTTTCATTCCGTTTATAATCACTGGCCGGCGATTCTTGCAGAATTCCATAGAACCAAACCTTCATTTAAAAGGCAGGGCCTATTGCTGTGTTATTAAATCATTAAATAACTTTTTAAATGGCCCTGAGAGCCCGGTGCTATATACTGTTAGAAGAATTGTTAGCAGTAATACAGGTAAACAGATTACCTCCAAACAGGTTACCTGTCGATTTCTATACCTATATATCTATAATACAGGTTAAAGCTGACATGAATTCTTAAAACGCAACATTTTCATCAATGTACGACTTGATTCATACCAACGATAGCCGCATTCCGCCATATTTCTCTCAGATACCTTGTCTCATTGTAACGATGTATACCCCAATGCGCTCGTTACACCTGAATGATTTTTTGGTTTGGGTGTCGACATGTGCACATCTCCGATGGTAAAGCATACATGAGAACACATAAGGAAATCAAGACATTTCAAATCCACAATAAACAAAATAATTATCATATTTCTGAATAATTATTGATTTGAATCAAAAGGAAAAATGCAAGTTTGGTGAGAAAGTTAGATGCACGAGTATGTATTTTAACAGTTCGCCAATTTATGCAGAATAAACTTGAAATAAAAAGCAGTAAAATCTGCAACACATTTTGAAATTATTATCATTTGAATGGCGCAAAACAACCAACGTCTTTGATTTACAGACCCTATGCAATTGGTGCATATCGAGAAAACGCCTCGAACGCTGTAAACATACCCATACCTGGTAATAGGTTACTGCATTGGTTCGAAGATGTGCACAAGTCAAGCAATATACACCCTGAATTCCATTTATTGAAATAATGCATCACAAAAAGAAATAAACTCCGTAAAAGCTCAATAGTAAACACACTGTCATTACTCCGTAAGACAAGCACGTCGATACACCTAGTCCGTGCTGATCAAATTTTGGTCAGGGAAAATATCACAAGTGGAAAGAGAAGTTATTTGGTATTTGCGCTGCTGAAAAGGGGGGGGGGGTTATAACTGCTGTTCATAAGCTATAATTGTGAATTGTCTATCTACATGTAATTCTAATTTACATTATATACAAAGTCATGTATATAGTCTGCAGTTGGTTTGCATCGCAAAATTCATTTGTCAATTATAACTGATAATTGTAGTACTAATCTCAAATCTAGTAATTTGATGTACGGCAATTATTGACTTCAAATCTTTAAAGCAATTAACCAGAATAAAAAAAATTTATGTGTACATAGATCTATACGTTCTTTAACACACAAACACACGAAGAAATGCCATCCCCTGTTCAGATTGACATTTTGATTTTTTAGGCGGGGAGGGGGGGTGAAAAATAATTGACATGACCGTTATCTAAATATTCTTGGAAGACGGACATCTCTGTCGAATTCAATT